GGGGAATAAAAGATAAGCCTTTGAGACCTAGCCACCCAGAGATCCTAGCTTACTCCCTGTCTCAGCTCCTGGGCCATTTCACCACAAATCAACACACATGGTATACACAGATGACAAGTAAGGCTTCAATGCTTGGTGAGAACTCTTCTATAATAAAAAAAGCTTCCTGTCCAAAGACCACAATTGACAACCGATAACTTTGGGAATATTTCTGAGATGTGCACCATGACATTTTTGCAAAGTATAGCTATGGCGGATTGCACGGAAAGAGTATGAGAGACAACACGCGGTTTATTTTTTTTATACAATTCTCCTGTTGTGTACTGTTTTGTGTTCGATTTCCGCCGTTTTGTTTGTTTCTGAACCCCATAAACACAAGAATAAAAAACAATTGTTGACTTTGTTTATTTTGTTAGACTTTTCGCGTAACAGTGTTACAGCGTTTCCCGAGGTTCGCGAGTCTGACAATTTTCATTTTAAATGGCATTTAAATCTACTAGATTTTCTCCAAAAAATGACAAGAATACGCAAGAAAAATGTTTTTCTAAAGTGATAAGAAAAGAAAAAGAAATCTAACATCATTTGGAAATGGCAACGGACAGAGCGAAATGGCGGTCCAAAATTTTAACAAGACGCGAAGTGCCAATTTTACTTCCAAAAGCGAAATGAATGTTAGTTCTCAAGCTTAGACTGCACCGGATTAAGCCGTAATTTGCGAAAATTGAAGAAATTTTTAGTAGAGAGAGTCCTTTAAGACGCACCCGCACCCCTCAGAGATTTACAGAAAATCCCGAGGAATTTCCGCGAAGCCAAGGCTAAAAACTACTTTTCTGTTTGGCGCCATTCTATTATTCTTTAGCATCCTTTTCAATGAAGTGGATGTTCTGTGGTGTTTTCCAAGTTTTTCCTACAGTAAGTGCCTAACGTCCAAAGCCCCCCAAGTTAAAGTGTAGGCTGCTAGCTCAATAACCTGCGACATTTTGACTGGAAGAAGATTACAACAGCAGCAACACTGAAAAACAAATCTGTGTTCACTAATTTTAAAAAGTCAAACCCCCCCCCAAAAAAAACCCAAAAAAACCCCAAAAAAACCCACTGGCTTTATGGCCAACTAAAAGTCGCAGAGATATTCCAAATTTGTCTCATGCTGTACTACTCTAATACCCATCTTTGAAACGAGACATGAGTCAAATACGAAGCAATTTATTGCTATATATATAATCCCACTGGCACTTTTGTAACCAAAGTAGCAACAGACAGTGGATACCACTTACCTTTCCACGGTAAATCAGCAAAGCTATTCCAGCACTCAGCTCAACAATGAACACGATAAACAAGAAACCACAGAACTGGAGAGTTAGAAATAAAAGGGAAGAATGTTAAGAATTTTTGCTTTTTCAAAGTTTGATCAAATACTTTTATATCAAACACAGGCACCAACAAAATAGAATTAGAATTATTTCAACAAAATCCTGCGCACATATATATATATATTATACACTATACTATGCAATTTTATGTGCAAACCACGTATTTCTGCAAGGCTTGAGGTACTACTATTTCTGTTGTAAATATCTTTCAACAAATAGTAGAATACTTTTTGCACAAATACTTTTAAATAGAAGTATCAAGTAACTCCATGCAGTTTTGTCAAAAGTTACAACAGACAACATGATTATCGTTCAGTCTCATTCAACTAAAGAGTAAAAGAGCAGAGAAATGTTTCGTTTCAGTTATGTTGAAGAGCTCAACAACTCTTTACAAATATTTTGAGATTACTAAATCTCATTTAAAGAATAAGCGCTGTGATCATGATTGCTTCACTTCAGACACAGTTGATGGAGCCTACGCATCATTATCTTGCTGATTGCAATATTTTTTGTACATTTATATTCAAGCAGATGAAAACAACAACACCAACATTCAAGCAGATAGATGACGTTATAGAAAGGAAAAGGGCAATGAACTCAGTGCCTGTAACATCTCTTGCCCAATTTCATGTTGAGTTGTCTGATCTTTGACCAAGGGGCCTATATTTAGAAATTTTAAAAAATATATATATTTGTTGGATGTCCCTCACAGTCACAGGAGCAAAGCGAGAAACTTTTGACAAATCTCTATTCTCTGAGAAATGACAATATAGCATTATTTACAGAGTAATACATCGCTGTATTCTCTGAGAAATGACAATATAACATTATTTACAGAGTAATACATCGCTGTATTCTCTGAGAAATGACAATATAACATTATTTACAGAGTAATACATCGCTGTATTCTCTGAGAAATGACAATATAACATTATTTACAGAGTAATACATCGCTGTATTCTCTGAGAAATGACAATATAACATTATTTACAGAGTAATACATCGCTGTATTCTCTGAGAAATGACAATATAACATTATTTACAGAGTAATACATCGCTGTATTCTCTGAGAAATGACAATATAACATTATTTACAGAGTAATACATCGCTGTATTCTCTGAGAAATGACAATATAACATTATTTACAGAGCTACATCGGCATCAATGGGGTAGCAGATTGGTACTTTGTTGCCGCAGACAGAAAATCCAAGTTCGATTCCCGTATGGGGAGAATTTTTAATAAAGTATCTCCGTCTTTCAGCTGGGACTTTGTATCCCTCTCCGACTCAGCCACCTTCATCGGTACAAAAGGGTCTTGTGTTTGCAAACTGGTTATGGGGCTCTCGTGGCCTAGGTGTTCACCTCTCATTCAAAGACCCCGGGTTCGAATCCGAGTAGCAACCAAAAATTTTCTTCTCTAAAATTGTCTCCTTTCACCTCCTTTCCTGCTCTCTAGCAATGTTCTGTTGTCTGCTTTCTGCCCCCACCCCTCACCTGCTTTACCCCCTGCTCTGGCCTCCTGACTCTTTCTGCAGCCTTTCTACTGCTACTCCTTGGCAATATTGACATATATAAAAAACCACTAATCCCCCCCCCCCATATATTGCACCACCAAAGACGCAATAGATACCCTACCATGTAGAGCAGGAAAGAATGCCCTTTGACAGTGCAGCAGCATCCCAAGGAGCCGATGAGAACAATGACGGCTCCCACTCCAATGAGCACGTACGGAGCCTCAGGCTGGTAGATGGAGGAAAGCTCCAGGTACTTGTACAGGTCAACCTTTGTCCAGATACCGATGGCCAGTATCACAATTCCCGTCACCTGTAACAGAAAAGAAAAAGACGTTAAACTTGGGGAATTCTATTAAAATTTCATGAAATCAAACTGCAGTGACACATGTAAAATGCAGGGACGGCGGCCTTAACTTCATTCAGTTTCAGCAAGTAAACGTTTAGCGCTACACTAACAGATATTTTAATCTTAGAGAAAGAGTAAAAATTACACTTTTCAGGTTAGCATCAGCAATCTCAGCAGCTCAGCAAGCTGATGCCAAGGAACATCAAGCCAACAGTCTGAAGGCCTACTTTAGAAATGTTTAAAGTTAAAGTGTGTGAATATTATTATAATGTAGTGTGTTTGGTTTTTTTAAAAGATGGTGAGGTAAACTGAGATTCTATCATCATGAGCATGTTATCACTTTCTGTCAACATTCTGAGAAAAATTGCGTCATGTGTAACCGCTAAGAAATTACATTAAGAGGGTTTGGATCAGGGTTAATTAACAGTTTTATAAGGCTACAGTTAGGATTTGGGGTTTGCGTTTGGTTAGAGCTACAGTTAGGGTTAGGGTTTGGGTTAGGTCCCTTCTTATTTTGTGTTTAGTTTGTTACGGAGGTTGCTTCTAACAGCAGTCCTTCCAACATTCTCCTTTCTCGGATCTAATAAAAAGAAAGTAACCTGGCGATTATCTTTAAGAGAGCAGTTAGACTGGCAGGCTAGTCACAATGATAACTAAACTGAGTTTTATTTTTAAAATCAAGTTGATTTAAATTTTTTTAAATCAACTGATTTAAATTGACTTGATTTAAATGAACCCAACCCTGGTTTTCAATTATGAAAAAAAAGTAAATTGAGAACTGTATTATTTTACAGTGACACTGTGTCCAAGGAAAGGAATTATGAATGTTTAAAGATGTAAAAACAGAATACATTTTTTAAAAGTGATTTAAATCACTGAGTTTTATTTTTT